GCGCTCTAAAGAGGAGGGGGGCGACTCCACCCGACTCCAGCGACTCCAGCGACCGCGAAGATAGCAGTGGCGGCCGCAGCAGCGGCCCGAGCTCGCCAGCCTGTCCTTTCCCCCGTTTCGAGGAGGAGCAGCTTCAACCGCAATGGCGGCGGCGTCCGCGGCGACCGCGGCGGCAATTGCACCGGCCAGGCAGAGCGCTTCCCTCACAATGCCCGAGAAGGCAGTCGGAGCACCCACAGTCACTCACCGGAGAGGCTTGTTGTTGTTAAAGTTTGAGGTTTTGAGTCTTATTCCTCGTTGAGGAAGGAGGGGAGCCGGCCGCGTTTCAATGGCGGAGCTCGTTGTCTTCCTCCACCTCCCTAGTTCCTTCTCCTTGTGCCCCTCAGTGCCCCAACAGAGCTTGGGGCCTTCTGATGTTCCCCCTCTCAGGGGTCGGTGGTTAGGGAGGGATCTGGTGGCTTCGGGGGAGGGGGTTAGGGCCTCCAGATATTTTCTTGGGCTAGTCCCAGGAGAATGTTTGGACACCCACCCCAGAAAGCGCATGCTTTTTGGGGTGGGTGTGGACAGGCTCCCAGGAAAATCAGTGTTTTTAAAACGCGGATTCTCCTGGGATAAAGGCTTGTCTGGATCCACCCTTATAAACTATCGCTTTGTAGCAGAGGCAGACGATCCCAGAAAGACCAGAAAAAATTATTTTTGTAATGTAATGTTTTAAGTTACCTTATGATAGTCCCAAGTGGAATCAACTCTTTATTTATCTTGTTTGCAGTAAACTCATTTGGTTATCTTTTCACCTTGTCTAATGTGCCTCTGTTTGCTAAGGGTCTTAATCTTAATAGAAGGTATACAGATAGCCTTCGAGTAAAGACAGGCACTATAGTTTTCCCATCACACCCACACAATCTGCCCCAAACACATTTTCCCTAACTTTGATCTTGAAGTGTGCTTCTAGACAATTTGCATTCCTTAAAGAACGTATTTATAAAGCACTTTTTGAATGCTTGAACTTCTTCCTGGACATTCTTCAAAAGAAAACTTACAACAATTCTGAGAAGTAGGTCAGTGTCCTACAATCCAGATGGTAGCTAAGACTTACTTAGAACCATTAATGAATACTATTATCTTACACTTATTGCTGAGAAGATATCATTCCCAGGATTTGCTATATGCCTTCTGAAGGATGGCCTTCTATGCACTTATAGATAGCAGATGTGTTGCAGTGCATTCATCATATGTCATGTCTCTAATACAAATGCTGCAAATTCTCCGTCTTTATCCTTTATAATACCTTATCGCAATTCCACTAAAGGGTTTTATGAAGCAATTTGTCATCAGGTTATGTTATGTCCCAGGTAGAGGTTACAAATATCTCATTAATCAATGCCAAAGCAAAGACAAAGGCAACAGGTGTGCAACTACTATTCTCGGCCAGGATGGATGTGAGGCTTGCATTTTTTGGGATTGGATGCAACTGAGTAAATTTGCTGGTATGAATGTCCCAGCATCAGAGCAACTAAGGCCGCTGGGTTATTGCACTTGTTTGCCCTGGATACTTTCCATTAGCCAGAAGCTGCTTGAACAGCATTACTGGAGTCCTGGCATCTACTAGAATTGTTTTCTAGTTCAGGCCTATAGGCCATCAGCACTTGACATCTGTCTTTGTTTAGTCATTTGCAAATTATTAGAACCAATTCTCTTTATGTTTGCTGCTTCCAAGGATTTTTTAAAAGTGGATACAACAGCTACCAGTCATTGGTATCCATTGAGATTATGGCTGAATCTACACTGCCACGTAATGCAGTTTGAACTTCATTATATGGTCAGTGTAGACCTATATAATGCTATTTAACTGCATTGAACTGCAATGTATGGGTCTACATTGACTATATAAAGCAGCTCAAACTGCATTATTTTTCAGTGTAAATCCAGACAAAGAAAGGGTGTGTATACACTGTAAAATTAATATGATTTGACATCACTTTAACTGCCCTGGCCCAATGTTATAGAATCGTGGTAGTTGTAGTTTTACAAGACACTATCAATCTCTGGCAGAGAAAGCTAAAGTCCTTGTAAAACGACTACTCCTATGATTCCATAGCATTGAGCCAGGGCAGCTTAAAGTGGTGTCAAACTGCAGTAATTCTACAGTGTAGATGCTCCTATAGTTAAATTTTAAGTTCACTGGATGAACTAATTAGACACATTCCAGTGGATTCAGCAGAAGCATTCTGGTGTAAGAAAATGTGCCTAACAATCCACATTTGCTGTGGGACTTTCACCCTGACATGTGGAAAAGAACATAATAAAGGGGTTGCCACAAATATAACTTTGTAATGTGCCCAGAAAGATTCCTGAGAGAATGTCTTGCAATGGTTGGCTGCACTGATAGGTCCAGGTTCCAGGTATGTGTTAACATCTCTCAGAATCTCATGGAATCCAGATGGTAAAAGCAGAAATGAGCATGACAGTGTCTTCAAGGCTCAGTGGTTCCATACTGCTGAAGCAGCCAACTGTCAGCTGGAAGGTAAGAAGGTTATTGCTAAACCTCTTGTTTTTTGTCTTTTTATAGCTGTTTTTAGAACCTTTTTCATCCATGGCTGTCATGACATGCTGATGTAAATGATATACAGAAATAATTTTCAGAGAACATAACTGGACTGCAAAAATTATTACCACAAGATAATAGTGCCAATTGCAAATTTAGATGGCTTTGAGAAAGGTTTGGTCCAATGCTTGGTGGAGAAATCTCCCTCCTTTCTTTCCTTTTGTACCAAAGGCACACATTGGGTCGGGAGTGTTTGTGCCTTGATTAGAACTTTTCTAGTAGAAAAATCTGTTGAATTACTGCCAAATGCCATCAACAGAGAATTTCTGTCATGGAGTTACATCCTCTACCATTTTTGTGTGCCTCGATAGATTTATCATTGTTTTCCTGTCTTTGGACCATACTCAACATATAAAACAGAGAGATCTGGCATGGGTCCTTCTGAATGATATATCTACCTGTCTTGCTATCTATAGTGGAATTCCTTGAGTCTGCTAGATCTTTTTTTTTTCTGTGTCAGGATGTGTGCTTGGGGTGCAGACTAAGGGTACACTTACAATGTAGAATTAATGCAGTTTGAGACAATTTAACTGCCTTGTCTCAATGCTATGGAACTATGGGAGTTGTAATTTGGTAAGGGACCAGCACTATTTGATAGAGAAGGCTAAAGACTCTGTAATACTATATTCCTAGTGTCAAACCACATTAATTCTACAAATGCACATTGAGGGACCTTCTACACAGGCCCTAAAATCTAAGAGAAACTGGGATAAAAGGGGAGGGGTTGTGACTAGATTATGTTTGCCAGAAATGTGTGCTGAATTGCATCATCAGCTCCAAGACACAGGTTAAAAGGTGTGCTTAAAATCTGAGATCGTCCCAAAAAATGTGTATATCCGCATCATTGTATATTCCTTCACTAAAAAAACCCACAGGACTTTATTGCAATAAGCTGGTGTGGACTGCTCCAGCACATGTGCACATTTTAAAATCCTGAAACAGCTGATGAGGGCTGTAAACAGATAGAGCCACAAACACACAGGTGGCTAAATGGAAGCAAAAATGGAAAGCAATTTCCATAAGAACTCTCTGCAACCATTCCTTTGTTCACATATTTCCAAAATTAAACAGAGCTTGAATTTACACAGTGGGCACCAGCATGGCAGGCAAGTGACCCCAAAGGGAAGTGGGTTTCAAGAGGACAAATGTAAAGGCAGCAGGTGGGTGAGAAGAGATAATGACAAAAAACTGCTTATGTGTACATTCATATATCCATATGAGCGCTTGTGAGGTCCAGCACATCTCAGAATGTCAATAATGTCCCATGTCCATCTTGCGAATTTTTAAAACCAGCTACAAACAAACCATCAAGATGCCAGGGAGCTATTTGCTGGGCTGACATCTCCATTTTTGGACTTACTTTCAGGTATCATGATTTTTTGCCCCACTTCTTTGTGCCTTGTTATGAGGCTGTCTGGAAGGGCCCTGAGTCAAATGGTAGTTATTGTTATTTCATGATACAGTAAAGTTTTTGGACCCAGTCAGAAGGTCTTCTACGGGATCTGATGATCAGCCACTAAACTAAGTCTGACATGTGAATTGAGTGTTTTTACAAAAGTGACTTACCTGTCAGTGCTGTATATTGGATCAGAACTCACACTAATATTTTGGATATATTTCATGCTAAGATGGTGCCAAACAAAAAAGGATACAAAGATCCCATCTCTGACTCTTAGTAAAAAGCTCTAACTTAATGTTTATGAAGCACATGTTAAAAGTATGCAAAACACCTTAACAGATCTTTTTTTCCTTTTATTATCTACATGTTGATCCATTTTTTTAACCTGAGCCACCATACTGCTTGATAGTTTTAATACATACTTTCTAAACAGTGAGGCATTCCCACTTCCCTGACCCATCTCCGTTTTGCTCCACAAGCTTTTACAAATAATGTCAATATCATACTTTTGCACCCAGTAACCACTTTGAAAATGGACCATATAAATCAATTGTCAGTGCTGTGACTGGCAAATTAAGAAGCTCCTGGCTCGAAGTCCAACATCGGAACATCCAATTTGGACAGAGTGGTTTAAGGGCAGTGCTGTGCAGTTATAAGAAGTCCTTTAGCTGACACATTACATCAAGTTCCTTTTTCTGTGGCTATTGTCCATTTGGAAAGGCAATTTTGTGGCACTGTTTGCAGTCAGGGACAAGTCAAGTGCCAGCCAATTTGCCCTTTCTACCCTTTACTTTCGCCTTAATAAACTGGAACACAGTGGCTGCTGAATCCAAAGAAGCAGTAACTGCAGTTCTAGAAAAGCATTCTGACATAACTTTGCACAGAAGAAGTATTTATATACAACAGAATTGCAGAGCTGTCCCTTAAAATTATTTTTAATATCATTTTTTCCCGGACAGTTGAAATTAGTGGTATACCCAAGCTATTAATAAGCTTCATGGGGAATAAATAAACAGACAAGACATGATGGTGAATGTCATGCCTAGTTTTGTTACAATTCGGCATGATTATCAGTTGTGTCTCAAAAGCAAGTCATATCCTCCATCCCTCTGATGTCAACTTCTCATAATTTATACAGAAATCAGATCTCAAACGCAAGCATTGTTGTTGTTTTCTGCTAAAACTGACTTGGTTGTGCCAACTGTTCCAAACTGGAATTGTATTATAAACATCAAAATGAAACCATTAGAGAATGTGGTTTCAAATGCTTTCTTTGACTGAAGTGGTAGGTTCTTTGGCTGTTCAGGGTAATAAAATAATGAAGCATGCCATTGTAATGTTATGCAAACATGGTGAGGGGATGATCATCCCATTTGCTGGGCTTTGCAATTGGTGTATTAAGCAGTACATCTTCTAGGCCTTGCTTCCACTGGTCCAAATTCCACCACCTGTAATATGTAACATGATAGGCAGTCAAAGATAATTATCCCCTCCTGATGAGTAGAAATTTAATATGCAAAGCTAGGGCCTTGCTCTTAACATATAGAATACCACATGGCATGGAAATTGGGGAAGTTGGGGTCTTGTGCTCTTGCAGTGATTTCTAAGCTAGGGGAAACTGGCCTTGTATAATGTACTGGAGTTTTAGTAGTAGTATTGTATTAGAAGTTGTTTATATTTTTAATTAGCTGTAATGTTATGATTTTTTTAATTAATTTTAGACCCTGGATAAAGCCATTGAATAGCTGCCATATGTGAAGCTTCCTTGAGTCCCCTTCAGGGTAGAGAAAGGTGGGATACAAAGAGAGTAAATAAATAAATAAATAAATAAATACCAGGGTTTGAATCCATGCTCAGCCATGAAAACCAAGTGGGTAGGTCACAAAATCTCAGCCCAAGAAAACCCTGTGATAGGTTGAGCTTAGGGTCATCATAAGTCAGCAACAACTTGAAGGTACACAACAACAAAGCTGCCTTGAATCCCAAATTTAGAAGAGGTGGCAATGAAATGCATGGGTGACCAGTGCATCCACTATCAAAGAGGTCTTGAATCAATTCTTGATTTTACTTCTTCCTTTTATAACTGCTTCAAATTGAATGAGAGCTCAGCTTATGAAAGGTCCCATTGCTTCAAAAGTTCAGTACCATGGAGCTCCTGTTTACCTTACAGCCAGGACTAATGGCAAGAGAGTCTGTACAAATTACTGGGGCCTGGCAGTCTGGGAAGGGAAATGTTGCATACATTTTTGTCTCTGGAACAGAGTAGCCTCAATTCTATATTTTTGATCAAGTCAAAGCAGGACAAATGGGTGCTAACTGTGCTTGCAGGAGACCAACTGCTTCAGTTGAGAGTACTTCTTGTTCTCAGCTCTCCTAGTCCAGGTGACTGAGATAACACACAAGGCAGATCTATATAAGCCCCACACACAGCCTTGTCACACAGGCCGCTGGAATCACCACACATCGTGTTAAATCCAGCAATCATTGTTGGGGTGTGTGGAGGAACTCGCCGCCCCATGCCCTACATCACCTGGCTCAACAGGAAGCTGATCCCACAGGGGGAAGCATCGAGCACACGGCTATTCCCTATTGCTTTCTGCACAACACACAAAAGTGGTGGCATATACAGCTCTGCTCTAGATGGTCTACAAAGTCCTGCCAGAAGTTCCTCTGGCTCAATGGGCGTATGCTGCCAGAAAAAGCCCCATCTGATGAGGTTATAAGTCTCACAAGAAGATGGCTTTTCATGAGAGCTTCAGCCTATAGTGAGAATTGCAATTTTGCGGAAGCCTGGAACTCTTTTAGGGCCCTTTCTTTTCACGAATCTTGAGCCGAGCTTTTTATGCACCTGCCTCACTTCTATCAGCTAGTCTTCAGCTGATATTAATATTTGAGAAAAACCCCCATGATCGATCTAGTTTGTCTGTGTGTGTATGTGTGTAGCAGGGTTAAATATTTTCACTGAGGCCCAGGCCTGCTTTGAGCAGTTTTGCCAGGAACAGTGGTAAACCTTAGAGTGGTTTCTGGCCAAGGATATCTATTGTAATTTCCAAAGCTATCATATACACAGACGATGCAGGACATTTATGGGGGATATCAATAAAATTTGCAGAAAAAGACTATTTTTTAAAAGTATAATTGTTTGCAAAAATACACAATTTCACTAAATTTACTTAAATTAACTGTGTGGGATAATAGAGCAGTTAGAACCCATGCCTAACAATGTGTTGTTTAACTTTTAAGCATTTTAAGCATTTCTGACTCATTTGCAATGTATAAAACCCACATAGCAGAGCAGCAGGACTGCTTGAAATGTGCTGCTCCCCCTGAACTTGACTCTCCCCACTTTATCTTGGCACACGTCTACCTACCCATCTGTTATACACAATAGGCTAGTTGTTGCTTTAAAAATAAAGTTCTTTTTTCTGGGGGTATGGCTGCAATGGGATTGAATACCTAAAAAGCTGCAGCATAATAGCAAATCATCATTATTGTTCTGACATTTTACCAATACTGTAAATAAATAAAACAAATAATTCATCTTAAATAGAAATCTGTAATAGAGCGAAAAAAGCAGTCTCCCAGAGAAGTGCAGTCAACACATCTGGCTCTCTTTATACTCCAAGAAGACAATCCCAATTCAATATTCCTGGCTCTTCCTAAGGGCAATGCCATCTTTTCAATTAGTTAGTGGTTTTCTAACTTTTCTGTGGTGTTTTCCCTCCTATAAAAAGTTAAAATGATTTGCCCAATGCTTAGTTAACGGCAGTAAAAGCTTTAAGTGAAAATATACTCAATGTGGGGTTTTCTGGCTCCACCTTTTTATCTTTGGCTTTTCCCACTACTGGAATACATCCTTCCTCCACCAAGAACACCACTGGAATGAAACTTGGCCCTTGGACAGAAAGAGGTTTCCTGCCTTTGTCCTACAGTTTTCACAAAGAAAATGCTACAGTTGAGCTCAGAGTCTTGCAGTTTTCTTGGGTATAGTTCATACAATTTCATTGGAAACTGTTTTAGTAATTTTTGAAAGTTGAATAGTTAATTCTGCTATAGTAGGCAACACAATTTCCAGGATATTGTATTGAGCTTTTAGTTAGAATTGAAGTAGCAGTACCGAGCTATTTATGGAATACATTCAATGCAAAAACCTGACCTTGCATATGGCTTTTGGCAGCAGCTGAAGACTTTTTTTTTCAACCAAGTTGATTGATTTGACAGATCATACAAAAGTATTTACATTTCCTTCATGTCTGGGGTGGGTGGAATCAGGCCAGGAGATATTACTTAGTTAAACTTAACTAAGTGGTTAATGGCTACTTAGTTAAACTGAACTAAGTAGCTAATATAAGATATGAGCTTGCCTATATGGCAATCAGATGATGACAAGCTGAGCAAACCAGCAGTTATTTGAAAGAAACTACAGGGATATAAAATCTCTAAGAAACACCATGTCACTTTTCATGCTGAATTATCTGCAATAATACTCCCTTAATGACACAAGTTTTACTTTGGTCCAGGTCTGGCAGATAAAAAGCTATTTTTGAAGCATTAATTTTGTATTCTTTTCCATTTTCATCACAAGTTTCGCAAACCAAATCCTTTGATATTTCAAAAAATGAGTAATGAATTTATTCTCCACTTTTTTACTTTCTGTAGCAATCTGTAGGTTATTGTATATACTCAGATATAAGTTGACATCATGTATAAGTTGAGGACAGATTTTAGGGCCAAACTTAGGGATATTGATATGATCCATGGGAACGCAAGAGTCGGATGGAGAGAGCAGAGGGGATTTTTGCTTCTTTTTAGGTCCTTCTGAACAGACTAAGCTCTTCCCTTTTGCCACTCCACTAAGAGAATGAGATTATTCCTTTTAAAAATAAGAGTTAAGATACAATACTCACATTGACCTATGGATCAGATGACCCAATATTTTGGGTTGATTTTTTAAACTAAATTTTCAAGACTTATATGTGAGTATATAGGACAATAAGTAAATCTGTGATGTTGCACCAGAAAAGATTTCTGCACCTGCTTACTTTTCAGTGATGTTACAGGAAACAGATACCTGCATTCTCTTAAAACTAAACTCCAAGTTGTGTGTTACAGCACTACTTCCAGAGTATACTAATCTACTTTCAGGATGAACCTCAAATATGTCATGCATCTAAACACATGCTTCAACACTAACCCTTTCCATTCATCTGAGTAGCCCTAAACCCATTCTGTGCACATCGTTTCCTCTGCTTCCTCACTAAAATGACAAGTGATTACATCTTAACAAGTGGACAACATTCACTGTGAGATGCTAATAAGACAAAACAGAGATAGTCAATATGGGGAGGTCTTGAGGCCTTTCCTAAAGCACAGCTGATTTTCTTAAAAGTCTAACATGTAATGATTAGAGATATGCTTCAGAAAAAGTTTGGTGGAGCTGGACTTTTTGTTATATGTCCAGATTTCCACCCAACTTGTACCACTAGATTTTATCCAGTCAACGTTTACTAACTAGCTCTGTCTGGTAAACATTCTGGGAAAGCCTGAGGCACAGATAGTACTAGTTAATGCTTCTGCCTCTAGAACGGTTGTGGTACTATGTTATGGCAAAAGATCAGTGCCAGAATCACCTACAATCTCCCTGAAACTTTCTAGATTTTCAATGGAACCTTCTTGATTCTGGTGAATTTTCCAGCATAGTGGACACAGTTCCACTCTAAGCAGGGCTATGAATTCCTTACTGAATTCTCTTTCTTAAAAACCAAGTTTTTACATTGACACTCCCATTCCTGCTCAAAGGTAGCTTTTACATTGGATAAGTTTCTGAAATGCTTTCTTGAAATCTTCGTTAAAGATTGTGTAAATCAATGGGTTAACCAGAGAGTTGATATATCCTAGCCAGGTCAGAAAATTAGACATTTCTTCTGAAATCTGACATCTTTCACAGATATTAACAACCACCTCTTTCACAAAAAAGGGTAACCAACAGATCACAAAGGCCCCCAGAATCAAGCCAAGGGTAGTTGCTGCCTTCCTCTCTCTTGTGGTTGAAATTCGTTGTCTTCGCCACCCTTGTTCATTTTTGGATTCAGAGTCGGGGCTCCGCAGCGAGAAGTGGATTCTGTCCAAATCTCCTGAAGGGTTAGATTTTTTATCTTTAGTGCATGATGCTGAGGAAGTTAGCCTGTAACTTTTTTCACCTCCCTCCAAGAGACCCTGTCCATTTGCCTCTTCTTTCAGAACCCGGCTCACACTCCTTCTGTGAAAAGTCTTTGCTGCTTTGTATATTTTGTAATAAAGGATCAAAATCAATGCCAGTGGGATGTAGAAAGCTCCAAACGTGGAGTAAATGGTAGAAGCAATGTGGTCATGCTTAATGATGCATTCGTCATCCCTGTTGGCTGCCTGGTGCCGCCAATACAATGGTGGTATTGAGATGAAGATGGAAATGATCCACACAATGGCAATCATGATGCCTGCATGTTTGGGTGTTCGCTTCCTGGCATACTCCACAGCATCTGTGATCGCTCGGTAGCGATCCAAGGCTATTGCTGAGAGATGTAAGATGGAACAGGTACAGCAGGTCATATCAACACTGAGCCAAATATCGCACATGACTTGACCCATGATCCAGGTTTCTTTGACAATATAGACAATGCTGAAGGGCATGACTAGGATGGCAACCAGGAAATCAGTGACTGCTAAGGAACAAATTAAATAGTTGGCAGGGTGATGGAGTTTTCGTGTCACAATGATAGCTGTCATGACCATAGAGTTGATCACCGTTGTCATTACGGCCAGCATGGAAAGGGTAAGAGAAACCAGAATCTTGGGAGTTACTTTCTTAAGCAGTTCTGATGTACCATTTTGCTCCAGCGTATAATTTTGCTCAGTAAAATTTAGGAAATCCATGATTTTCTTTGAGACAGTCTTTATCTAATGAAGACACCTGTAAGAAAGTAAATACAGTTTAGAAAAAAAAAACCCAGAACACACTACATATTCAAATTCAACATTTCACATTCTTCTCAAAATGTTCCTGTTGTATTTCTATACCATATATTTTTGCTCCTTTAAGAGAAAATATTGTTTTGCCACTGAACTGCCTTCTGACAATTCCAGAGCAAACAGAGAAAAGGTTATTTTTTGGATTACAGCTCCTAAAAATTCTTCTGGCTGAGGAATTCTATGAGCCATGACAGAAAAAGTCTGTTTTCCAATCTTTGACACAGCAAATATATATTTAGAAGTACTTCACTCCATAGGATGAAACAGATCCATTGCAACATAACTGCATATATGTCACTATGTTATCTTTTTTGTTTAAACAGCAGCTGTGGTGATAGACATTTGATTTTGGTCTGTGCCACATGGGAATTCCCACCTTCCCACCTACTGTCATCTGAGGAATTCCTATTCAAGCTGCTATTAGATAAATCAAATAGCAGCCTTGATGGGGATTCATTTTTTATCTAGACTGGAGTGCACAAGAGATGTTACTTTCTCTCCCTCTCCCCCCCCCAACAATGGACAGATATAAGCACGTGTACGCACACACACACACCTTGGTCCCAATGTTTTTGGGAGACTCTGACATCGTTCATTTCTTGTTTTAAAAGATAAATTAAATCCACTCATATTTTAATATCACAGCGAGACATTCCTTCAATTTCCTATACTGCATATACTCGAGTATAAGACAAGTTTTTCAGCCCTTTTTAGTCTGAAAAGGCCTCCCTTGGCTTATACTCAAGTCAAAGTTATTTCTTATTTTACTTTGTTATTATAATTTTTATTGCATTTATTATTTTATTCTATTTATTATTCTTAATATTACATGTACATTATTTTACTCTATTATTATGATTACATTTATTATTTTACTCTATTGCTATTATTACATGTTTTATTTTACTATATTTATTAATATTACATTATTTTACTCTATTACTCTTATTACATTTCCATTACTTTACTCTATTATTATTATTGCATTTATTATTTTACTCTCTTTATTATTATTGGAAGGCTACGTAAGCACATTTACATTGAAAAAGGTTAGAATAATTGGACACTCTTATCTTAAGTTACAGTTTTATGTAAATAAAACATTTAACATACTGATGCCTTAATTAATGTAATTTTATTGATATCTATTATTTTGAAATTTACCAGTAGCTGCTAAATTGCCCACCCTTGGCTTATACTCAAGTCAATACGTTTTTGCAATTTTTGTGGTAAAATTAGGTGCCTCGGCTTATATCCGGGTCCACTTATACTCAAGTATATACAGTACTCATTTTTGGGATACTTTCCCACCAGCTACTAACCTTTTGGATGCCACTGACTCTCCCCCACTGGTGATGTACAGTCAGCCAAAGCCAAACAATGGTAGAGGGTAACCTCCAACTCAGTTATGTCTGAGTCCCAGATGACTACCTGGTCACCCCTGATCTTGAATGTGTAAAGGCGGCGATATCCTACAACCACTGGGCGCCCAGGAGAGTGTTTCCAGGAGTCAATTTGTGGACTCAGGGGAGAAGCAGCAGCCATGGCTCTGAGACAAGGGCAGGTGAGTTTTGTGTGTGTGCTGTCATGAGTTTTAAGATCTTATATGCAAACAATTGAACCAAAACCTAACTGAAATATTGAAGGAGGAGGGTGAGTGCTTTATGTAATGGGTGGGAATATTCAGGGGCCACCAAAGTAGGCTCTAGGGGGCTGAATGAGGCCCATGGCATACCTAGACATGGACAAACTTTGGCCCTCTGAGTGTTTTGAACTACAACTCCCACAATTCCTAAGAACCTACCAGCTGTTAGGAATTGTGGGAGTTATAGTCCAAAACACCTGGAGGGCCAAAGTTTGCTCATGCCTGGCCTACACTCTGCCCACAAGATTGCTTTGCACTTAGACAAATGGAGAACCCGAAGAAGTGGAATGATGAGGGCCAGGAACTCTCAAAGACATGATGGGTTATTCCTAATGAGACTTTAAATGAGACTATAACAAGGCATTGCTATTCAGTGAGGCTTTTAGAGGTAGAGTATACATTACTCAAAATTCTGAAATATGAAAGACCGCAAAATCCAAATTGTCCACATGGGTAGCTAAGATAGTGGTAGCATTGGTTCAACAGACACAAACTTGCTTCATGAACAAAATTATGTTAAATATACTGTATATAATTACCTTCAGCTATATGTATAATGTGTATAGCAAGCTTAAATCAATTTATTTATTGCATTTATATACCACTTTTCTCACCCCGGGGAGGGGGGGGGGACTCCTCCTCCTCCTCCTCCTCCTCCTCCTCCTCCTCCTCCTCCTCCTCCTCCAAGCAGCTCACATCAAATAAATGGCAAAAATTCAGTGCCTCACATACAATAAAGGCACATCTAAAACAGTAGCATATAACTATAAATTAAACCATTAAAAAACTATAAACCATCAAACAAACAGAAAACATTTTAGCATTGCACTGATCCCAAGGTTGTCATCCATCTGCTACATTATTGTTGTCACTCACCAAATGCTTGTTTGCATAACCAAGTTTTTAGTTGTGTTCTAAACATTATGAAGGAGGGGGCCAATATAATGTTGCTAGGGAGGGAGTTCCACAGCTGAGGGGCTACCACTCAGAAGGCCCTGTTTCTCATCTCCACCAATCGTACCTGCGACAGCGGTGGGACCGAGAGCAGGACCTCCCTGACTGATTTTAATGCTCTAACTGGCTCATAAGGGAGATGTGTTCAGATAGGTAAGCTGGACCTGAACTCTTAAGGAATATATAAGCTAAAGCCAGCACTTTGTATTCTGCTCGGTAGCAAACTGGCAGCCAGTAGAGCTGACCCAACAGGTACGCTGTACGCTGCTCCGGTGAGCAATCTGGCTGCCACCGGTTGGACCATTTGAAGCTTCCAAACAGTCTTCAAAGGCAACCCTAATGAAGAGTGTGTTGCAGTAGTCTATTCAGGATGTAACTAGAGCGTGGACTTCATGTTTAGACTTGGGTCCCATATCACCTCATCATGCATGTATTTGCAAATAAATGCCTTCCGATATATATATATATATATATATATATATATATATATATATATAATCAAAATCCCAAACACTTCTGGTACCAAACATTTTGCATGAGAAATACTCAATCTGTATCCTACAAGTGCTACAGACATGGAAATCAAGGTGCCTAAATGCCCCTTTCTTCTGCCTATTTTTATCACTTTATTTTCCAGTACTTTATTGTCCCTATTTTTAGCCATTAAAAACATATTGAAGAGAAAAAGACAAAATGTGTCATGGTTGGTGGTGCTGCCTCTGTGGAAGCACCTTGAGCTTTTTGTTGGATGTTAATATACAATCGGTTTTCAAAGGGCATGTTATTGTTGTAGTCATCACTGAGATGCTTGTAGCAGAACTGTGGTCTGTGGGTTAAAAAGAGTGTTACAGAGGATACCTGAAGCAGCTATAGTGTTAGAAGACGAGTTATTGTATGATATCTTAAATAGTTGTTTATTACAGCCATCAATATATTATATGACCATAATAGAGAAGCTGCTAGAAATGGTCTCCTTGCAGTTTTATGAGCTGATTTGTGTTTTTATAGTAATGGCTCCACATAGCCATTTGTCTGAGACTTTAAACAAATCTTGGCTGAAATGCCTGCCTTCTTAACAAGGCAAAGAATTGCTGGCAGGTTTGATGCCTACACACCTGTTCTAAGGATGGTTGGGTTGATGTGTGCTCTTAAAATTTTATATGACAGTAAAAGATTCAGGGGTTACAATGGGGAACACTTTACAGAAGACCTGGAAATCCCAAAAGAATATAGATGTTACCTGGGATAAACACTGCCAGCTGGTTTCCTAAATCCTCATGGGACTTTCTATTTGAAGCAGGCAAGGTTACATTACCTTCAAGCAATTCTTATTATAAATTGAAATTTATAATGACAGGAAAGAACCATAGCCACACATATCTAGGTACTTTGGAACAGCCCAGAGGATGTCTTGATAGAGGATGCCTTTTGTACTGATATCAAAGTACTACCTACTTGATCATCTTCCATACATTTCAACGTACAGTATCTTTTTTCCAGTAGCACATAGTTGCACCAACCAAATATGCTAGCATCCGTACTTCCCTGAAATGATAGCATATTGGGCTGATACAACTACAAGTTATTGGAATCTCATTAAAAATTACCTCATTGAAAAAAACAAACAAAAGAAAATGACCCCAGAACTCATCAGCTTGGTATCCTCATGACAGTGGAAGCATTTGTCAGTCTAGGCTAGGCAAATAAAACCCCACATTTTCTGCTTTGAACTGGAATATATGTCAGTGTGGACTCAGATACCCCAGTTCAGAGCAGATATTGTGGGATTTTCTGCCTTGATATTCGGGGTTATATGGCAGTGTGGAAGTCAATGGCCCAAAGTCAATAACTGTTAAAATGTAAAAAACGGTGTGTGCTTGTAATATGTGCACACGAAACCATGTGATTCAAATTGTCATTGAAATTGGGTCATAACGACAGCTCTGACCAGAGCAGAGAGAAGGTTCAAAAATGTAAATTACCATAGTTTTACCCTTGTAGGTATATGGATACAGTACATGGAGGCTGGACTGGGGAAAATGTTTTTGTGGTTATAGCTAACAACAGGTTAAAAAAAATCATCAATTTGACCAAGATCGAAGCCTTCCAACTTAAGCTGCTACGCACCCTCCTGGGCCTTTCCAGAACAACACTGATGGTGGCAGTAAGGGCGGAACTAGGAACGCCCCCAGTAAAAGCCAAATGCTAATGAGACAATTCAATTACTGGTCAAAAATAAACCAGATGAATCCCAGTAGACTTCTACACCTAGGTTTAGAGGACCAAGTCCAGCGTAACCAAAGTTATCATGGATAGTGGCTCTAAATAATGAGCTGGCTAAAATCAGCCTGCCTTTACAATTTCTGAAACATCTAGGACCTAAGGCAAAACATATGCTCATGCAACACACAGGAGATATCTATGCTCAACTGGACCTAGCAAGCATAGGTAGGTCTTCTGCCACAAGGTTTTGAGCTTCCCACAAAAGAAATATTCATTTAGAACACTATCTGACTATTCCACTTCTGTTACCCTTAAGAAGAATATATACTAGGGCTAGGTTTGAACAACTCAGTATTATGATGCAATCCGGGCGTTACGGTAACATCCCAAGAAGTGAGAGATTCTGTATATGGAGAGAACAAATAGTGGAAGATATTGAACATTTCTTAATTGACTGTCCAGCATATGCTGAACTGTGATACTGATATTTACATGTAATATCCAACTGCAGGTCCCCCAACTGAAATGATCTTCTGATATTCCTCTTGCAAGGACAAGAAAGAAACACCATAATCAGATTAAGCCTTTTTATTCTGAAAGCTATCAAGAAAAGAGGACATTTCCTGAAAGAAGACCAGGACAATAAGACTCTGACTGTAAATAGAAGGTCAGCTGCTGTCCTCTCCTTTTTGCCTTGTATTTTATTTGTGTTGTATTTTGAAATGGTCACATGACTAGTCAAATAAATAATTTATTATTACTGAAACACTGCACGAAATTATTATAGACAAGGAAATCTGAGTCACCCCCTCTGATGGTATTGCCTCTTGTGGTTCTCAAGCTTGTACTTCCTTAGTGTCTCACTGGCTTGATGAAAACATATGAAATAGTACCTCTTCTTCCTCCCATCTGTTGAGGCTGAGTAAACTGACAGTGAAATCTTACTGATTTGAGCAGACTGCTCCCTTGTACTTAAGGACAGCAGGCTATCTAGGAGAGTCCAGTGGTGGGTGGCAAGAACACATTGTTCTTTCCCCCAAAAGACAAGAAAAGCCACAGCATTTGTGCCCACCAGAGAAGATATCTTTTACCTGAGTCAGTTGTCTCATCCTACCAAATGATAAAACTGGGTTGGTTGAAACCTTAGTCTCTTGAAACACAAAGTGGTAGATTATCTGTGCAAGCTCTTTCTACTCATTTCTGGCCTATTCTCTTTTTCATGAAGATAGACAATGTGGAGATCAGAGTGCCAGGTAGAGTTCAAAAGGCTACTGTTGTTTCTTTTTCAAGTAGTAATTGGTCACTGAGTCAATAAAAAGAAAACTTTAGGTCACTCCATAAATCATTACTTTCTTACATTCTGTTCTTCTCACTTTCCAGAGGCAGTTGGGGATATTGTGGGTTGGCTTGTTTCCCCAACTCCTTTACACAGAACCCTTTGAAAAAACAAGTTGAAAGGATAGGTATTAAAGTGGGCATTTTCAAACATCACAATGGTGCAGATAAAACAAATAAATATGCAAAATCCTTAGTTTGGTTGGCAGCAGGAATAAAGGGGATAAACACAAAACAATTATGGGAATAATGGTGTTTTCTGTTGCAACCCTGACTGTTTTCCTTAACTCATTATTGGCACCTTGAAACACATTTAGGAAGGTGTGTATTCTACCTGTCACATTGAAGTTAATGCTCAAGAGATTGTTCACAAAGAACAGCTATTTGACGTGTGAAATGTGCTCATTAATTGGTTCAGCTAAACATTATATTGTTTCAGCTAAAGCAATGCCTCATTTGGATTGTTTTACAAAAATGCCACACATTCTTTGCCGTTAAAAAAAGAAAGAAAGAAAAGTATAATCTTCACAGAAATCTGCTATTATTGGTTAATAAATTTCGTCTATCAATAGCAGTTAGGAATGATAACTAAATTGGACCTCTGTGTTGAGAGGTATGAAAACACTGATGCACAAAATAAACAACAGGTTGCGGAAGTTTCCTGAATCACAATTATTATACCTTAACATATATTTTCCTTCTAACTCCACAACCTTGAACCTAACCCACATGACCTCTGACACCCCTCAATATGGATCATGTAATTAACCAGCTACCTATATGTATTGTTTCACTAAATCCTCTTTATGGCAGTCATCAAATCTATTTTTGTCATCTTTTCCAGATACCCAAGTGCCAACCTCCATTTGTTTGTGAATTCTTCATTATTTCCTCCTCTATTACTATTTGTCAGCTTGGCCATTTGTATATAATCTACTAATTTACCTCTCTAGTCTTTAATAGTGAACTCTATTTTCCCCTTCCATGTTTAAGCTATTATTAGTCTCGCAGCAACAAAGCAATACTGACAACAAAGCAATATTGACAACTTTCATAATCTCTTGCACTGATACATCTTTTAAATAGTCCTAATAAGCACATTTCTGGGTTTTGTTTGACCTTTTTGTTGATCATTTTGTTGTTTCTTTCACCACTTTTCCCCAGAATTCTTGAACTATGTTACAGGTCCACCATACGTGGAAAAAAATATCCCTTCACCTTCTTACATCTCCAGCAAGCCCTTCATCCGGTTTTCTCTATTTCAGCCAGTAACTCTGCAGTTATGTAAGTTCTATAAAACATTTTAAACATGTTTTCTCTAACTCAGCCTGCCACTGAAAATTTAAACCTCTTTTCCCCAAGATGTTCCAAATCTTCTAAGTCAGTATTTCTACCTAAATCTTTGGCCCATGCAATCATAACGGTTTTTATCTGGTGGGTGGTCTACTAAGTTATATATTTATAGAACCTGGAGATTAGGCCTTTGTTATCCTTCCTGAAGATACATTCTAACTCTGATATTTTAGAAGCAAATCCTACCTTTATGTCCTTCCTAAATCTGTCATGCAGTTGGAAGAAGCTGAACCAATCTTTTATCCCAGATTATTCTCTACCCTTAAGTGTCCATTGCCCTTTCTCTTTGACCAAATATTCCTTCTACCTTCCAGATTAAGTATGTGTAGCCAGTCTCAGGACTGCTTCCAGTGGACACAGCCATAAGGGTTTTTTTTTTGCTCTATCCCCTTTGTGTACCTTTTCCATATTGCTAAAAGATTGGCTCTTATTATATGTCCATTAAATTATTTATTCACCCTGTCGTTTTCATCCAATACATGCCATCCATATCTTGGATGGCCCTCTGACTTACCAGCACTTTTTGAGAGAGAAGGCTAAAAATGTATTAAAACTACAGTTTCCATTATCCCATAGCATTGAGGTGTGCAGTGCAGATCTACCCAAGCAGTAGATTTTTGATGTTGTGAAATATCAGGAAATCAGTATTTTGCTTGCTATTATACATTTTACTCTCTGCTTCGCCAAAACACACATTTTGATGATGTGAAACACGCAGTATCATTTGCTACCAAGGTCGCAAATGGGTTGAGGCTGAACCTGCTTGGTACTATGGGATCTGGCTAAATGAGAATTAACTTATTATATTTATTTATTTATTTACGATATTTCTATCCTTCCTTTCTCAAGCCCGAAGGCGACTCAAGGCGGCTTACAAATTGGCAGCAATTCGATGCCATAACAATCCACAATATACAATTAAAACATTTAAAACAACATTATAAAATCTATACAAAAATATATAATTAATTAAATAATAAATAAAGAATTAAAACATATAATAACCAATATCTTCCTGTTAATCTCATTTTCCAGTAGCATCATGTAAGCCGTTCCATGTTTCAATCTTACATAATTCTGGTAATTATAGAGTAAGAATCCATTCTCCATATAAGTCCCAATAAAGATAAATGATATAAACATTTTGCACATCTAGGATGGGAAAAGTGTGTGAGAGAGAGAATAAGTAAGGAAAGAGAAATATTTCTGAACTGAGATTTATCTTCTCAGCAGAAGTACCTTGAGCAATACCTGGTGTCGTTATAAATATTAAAGGAAAAGTGACAAACTGACAAACAAATCCTGCTTCATTTTATTGTTTTACATTTACTTTTATGTTGTGAAGAACAAGTTTTACCTTTTACAGATGGTGACAAAAAACTCTTAACAATAATTCATTTAAAGAATGTTTTATACAAACTAAATAGAATAATTCATTATTTTTTCTCCAAGCAAAATCTCTAGCAGTCTGGAAATGCTTTTATTTCTTTTGATTTTTCATCTGCCAAAGGACAAACACATCTGTAGATAGGAACAAAGAAGCTAATATAGATCCCATAGCTAGTGTCAGTGATATCCTTCTGGATATGTACACAAAAAAAACTATAAAGCTGCATGACTTCATCAATCAAACACACGCCTATCTACCATGAATAAGAAGAAAGGAAAAGAAATGTCTAATCCCAGAGTCTGCCCTGATCAGCCAGCGAGGGTGCCATTATGGTAATCACTGATTTCACTAATAGTACAGGTATAATTCACAACTCACTTTATTTAATACTTCTAGATAGCTCTCAGTCTTCACTGATATGTTATAGGACTCTAATGGCAATTCAGTATTCAGTATTCAGAGATGGAGCCCCCAGTGGCGCAGTGGGTTAAAGCCCTGTGCAGGCAGGACTGAAGACCGATAGGTCGCAGGTTCGAATCCGAGGAGAGGTGGATGAGCTCCCTCTATCAGCTCCGGCTCCTCATGTGGGGACATGAGAGAAGCCTCCCACAAGGATGATAAAACATCAAAAATCATCTGGGCGTCCCCTGGGCAACGTCCTTGCAGACGGCCAATTCTCTCACAACAGGACACTCCTGACATGACAAAAAAAAAAAGTATTCAGAGGCATAGCTACTTTCAGCCACTGGGCCACTAGAATATGTAGTGTGTAGTATGTTTTAGAAGCACTTGAGGCAATTATTTCTTTTTTCATTCCATATATTTGTTCAGTCACCAAAAGCATTTAGGTGCATTACTGCCAATCTTGTGCAGAGGGAAGGAGGCAAAGACTCCCATTAGGTTGGGTATGTAGCACTTCTCCATGACTCAGATGTCACCAATTGGAGCCCTTTCTCCTGCACTTGTCGAGGCGGGGGGGGGGAGGTTAATAGCTCATTTGAGAAGCTGGGCACTTTGAGCCCTGGGAATTAACTGGATGCTCCAAGGAGCTCATTCTGGTTTCTAGTTTCCCCAGTTTGCCTATTCTTTTCCCCACAATACAATTACTCAGTGGTTTCCCAAATTTTATCTGCTTTTCCTGAAAGGCTGAAATGCCTCTCCCAAGGCTTAGTTCCTGACAGTATGAATGTTAAGCTATATTGATATTTTTGTTTCCACCATTTTTTCTTTGGATAAATCCAAGTGGCATCTTTGAAACTGCATTTGGATGAAGGGAGCTAAAGGAAACTGCCCCTGACAGTGAGTGCCATCAGCTGGCATTATATATGTTTGTTTGTTTTGTTTTTTTGGTGTGACAGTAGACTTATTTTATATCAGATGTAAAATATTTTATGCCTTGAATCTAGTTATCAGGGACAAATGGGATGCCTCATATTCTGAATCACTTGAAATTTTGAGAGCACTGGCCACACTCTCAAGAAACAAATCCTTGAGCATTTAGTATCCAGTAACCAGGCCTTATGCAATAAGAAGGATCTGTCTGGGAGAACCACAGCTTCTTTTTAAAAAAAATTACAGCAAACCTGTCAAAAAATAGTTGTCCATGATGATTGGCAGCTTTTAGGTCTGGTCAGAAAATCTACTTTGGGTTCTAGCCAAAATTTTTAAACCATTGTCTAATGTGCCATACACTGGCCCATACAGGTTCAAGCAATTTGAACATATCATTGGAAACCTATAATTTGAAGCTTATATGACACAGCAAATAGCAGGTGCAGCAGGACAATAGCATCTTTGGCTTAGACTTATCATAGGATGTTTCTCCTCTCTCTGTTTTTCTGGTGACATACATCCTTCAAGAAATGCAAAAAAATTATACCTGTTGATGCCTTTCTCTTGTGAAAGATACTTCCTGCAGTCTTCCAGCAGTAGAACAACAGAAAGGGAATGGCATTCTGTGATAAGTCTTCTGTTACCTGCTGTAATTGCAATCCACTTGCTTTGTGTGATAAAGTCCTTGGAGTAGATTTCTTACCACACTAACATGGGAACTACCAGTTTCCACTGATCACTCCACAGGGCTTTTTGACATTAGAAGCCCAACAGCTGGAGTAACCTTCAATACCACTATGACACCTTTAAGATGATAAAATATATCCCAGTAGTAGATGGGCCTCTAGTACTTGCTGCACCCAGTACAGCTCTTTGGAAATCATGAAGCTAAGTTCCTGTGCACTGTCTGACCCCCCCTTTTAAAACTTTCCTGCCATTGATGTTTGCTGGGAATTTTGATGTAACCTCCATCCTCTCAACAAATAAAGAAATCATCTCAAAGCTCTGTGCATTTATTATAGTAAAAACTGACAAACACCATAATTAAGCAAAGTGTTTTCTGATCAAACCTTCTCCTGATGCTCCATACATCAAGGTAGACATCAAGATCCTGCATGAAGTGATTCTGGTTCCAGTCTCGACACAGTTGTCACTTTTATTTGCATATATTTCTAGCTTGATGGGCTGTGGTTGCTTTTTATTTGCCATCCTGTAAAAAAAAAGAGAAAGAGTTTTCAGTTAAAAATAAAAACAATAATGTGAATGCAATTTTCCTGCTTCTTGGCAGGGGGTTGGACTGGATGGCCCATGAGGTCTCTTCCAACTCTATGATTCTGTAATTCTAACAGTTGGAAATGAAATTTTGGGAATTTCTTTACAGTTTCTTTACAGTCCTTTATTTTCCGTTAATCCTCTGTGTCCATGGATTTAACCATTCATGGTCTGAATATATATATATATATATATATATATAAAATTTTCAACTGCTGCAAGATTTTTTTTTCCATTTTGGAATTTTGGGACAAAGCCATTTTGTGCAAAAATTGAGTTTTTATGCACCAAATAAACATCTTAGCAATGACCACAGTGTGTTTTGCATAGAAACTTGCTTTTGCACCTAGCATCTCTGTACAAACCCCCATGCTTTTGCACAGATGATAGACCCCAAATGTGAAAAACTATAGAAATGCAAGCCCCCCCCATAAAAAAACAAAAACCCACAACACCTCATAATTTCATTCACTGTGGAGAAGGTTTTTGAAAATCTTGTTCTTGCATGGGAGAATGCAAGAGAAGTATTACCGTCATGCATAAGTCAAGGGCAGGTTTTGAAGCCAAAATTATGGATTTTAATATGACCAGTGGATAAGTCAAGGGGTGGCCTCAGGGGGTAACTGTCATTGGCTCCTGTTGGTGCCATTTTCCCACCCAGGCATTACAAAAGACCAGAAGTGATGCTACTGCAAAGAGAGTAGAGGAGATCAGTGTTCCTTTTTAGGTTCTTCTGGTGTCATATCCTGCTCTCAGGACTCAGATAGCAAAGGGGAAGAGAAGGTAGAGTCTGAGAGTAGAGGATAACTGCTAGCCACTCAACTTGGTGAAGGACATTCCAATGGATGAACCTGAGAGTAACAGCTCTCAACAGCCTCAAGACAAAAGCAGAGATACCTACCTTGCTGGAACACCAACAACAAAGGGGGGTTTCAGAAGATCTTGACAACTTTATAACAAATGCTTGGCAATTAAAGAACAGCCGAGAAACTGGGCTATAAATCTAGCAACTCTACTCCAACTATATATTGCTGACAACTGACCTGCAAAGCTCAGCTTCATGCCTCTGGCTCCTGTTCTCTGTGTAATTTGGCTTTGGCTCTGATATCTTTCTCTTGGATCACCCAGACAGATTTCTTGATTTATTTTCTTGTTTTGAACTCAGACTCTTTGACTACATATCAGCTTTTGCTTCTTCTGCTTCTCCAGTAACTTTTGGTTTGGACTTTCAAAGAAAAGGAAAGACCAGATTTCTGCTACTATTTATTGGTTATCTTTCGAAACAACCTGCTACCTTTCAGAATAGGACACTGGGATAGGCTAAGCTCTGCCATTTGCTACTTTATTCAGAGAAGGGAATGTTTCAATGTACAGAACTTACACTGACTTGTGGAAGAGCTGATTCATTTTTGGTTTTTTTAAAAAATATATATATTTTATTTATACATAGATATATACAGTACATTACTGGTCTAAAATACTCTGTTAGTTAGACACTGTGGTACTAAGCATCTATTTCTATATTTGGAGTACAGGGAAATAGATCTGTCATTCTGTGTTTAGAGGGATATATATAAAAAAGCTGTGGTTCATTTTCTAAGTTTTTGGCAAGCACAGCATTCCTGTACTACTCAATATACTCGAGTATAAGCTGATCTAAATATAAGCCAAGGCATCTAATTTTACCACAAAAACCTGGGAAAACGTATTAACTTGACTATAAGCCGAGGGGGGGGGGGGAATGCAGTAGCTACTGGTAAATTTCAAAATAAAAATAGATACCAATAAAATTACCTTAATTGAGGTATCAATAGGTTACATGTTTTTGAATATTTATATAAAACTGTAATTTAAGATAAGATTGTCCAACTCTGGTTAAACCATTATTCTAACCTTCTTTAATGTAAATGTGCTTACATATCCTTTCAATAATAATAAAGAGAGTAAAATAATAAATGTAATAATAATAGAGTAAAATCATAAATGTAATAATAATAATAATAATAATAATAATAATAATAATAATAGTAAAATAATAAATAAGCTTGACTTGAGTTTAAACCAAGGGGGACTGTTTCATCCTACATAAGAGCTGAAAAACTCGGCTTATACTAGAATATATACGGTAAGTAACTGGAATCTAGGTTTTTCTGTGAGTATGCACATGAGTACTGAAGATTCCTTCAGCTATTTATTTAGTGTTTTACAAATGTGCTAGAAGAAAAACGTTGTTGCTTGAACTTTACAATATAAAGTAGTTCAAGCTATTTAACAGAAGAGAAAACTGGATGCCTTTGTTTCTTGCCAGTAATATAGCAAATTACTTCTTTAAAATGCAGACTATACAAATCGCTGTATTTTTTTCCATTTCAAAATGAGCAGCCTGCATTTTCAAAGCATGTAATGAAAGACATTTTGTTTGCTTTGTTTTCTTTCCAGGAGAGTATTACTGAAATAAAGCTGATTTCCTAAGTGTTTCTTATTCCAATGTGTAAAACATCAGTGTACAGGTACGTTTGTTCCCCTGTGATATCATATATTTTATTTAAGAGCACATTTTTAAGAAATCCAAATGCAATGAACAACAAAATAAAGCAAAAACAATGGCTTCACTTTTTTAAAAAAACAAACAAACAACCCAATGTTTTTTTAAATAGGAAAACAATGAAAACATCGATTGAAAACTTTTAATTAAAAACCAGAAGTCACTGACAACATTAACACAATCTGTAAAATAATCAAGGGCATTAGGGAAAACATTTCTTTACCTGGTGACACAAATACCTAAAGTTCGGAAAAAGGTTAGTTCTGTTGGAGCATGCAAGGAATCAGTGAGTGTGTGTGTGTTAACTGTAAAATAAGATGCATGAAGCTGATTGGTCAGGCAATGCCCAGGGAGCAGGCTGAGCCTGGGACTTTTTATTACTGTTATGGTTTTGTTCAGGCTTGAGCAATGCAGGTGCAGAGAGACACAGATTTTGGAGCATGCTCTCACTTCATGAGCTGCTGAAGGAGTTTATCCATATGGACAAAGGAAGACCATTTTAAATCTCTCGTAAAAGGATATTTAGTGAGTTGATGCAACTGATCACATTGTGCATATATTGTTTTGGATTAAGAAGAGTAAACTACTTGTTCTTTACGGTTCACCTGTGTAGCATATTTTCTTTCTCTGGCAAGGCAGTGTGTGGGCTGATCAAATGTGAACTAAACATGGTGTATTTTACATTACGCCACAAGTTCTTGGATCACAACTCCCAGAATCTGCCAATCTCTATTACCACAAGCTGAAGGATCCTGAGAATTGTTGTCTGGAAAATAAATATTTTTAAGGTTTGAAAACAGTCCATTTAATTCCACTGCTGGGTCATTCCAGATGATGAATAGTGAACTTGTGCATCTAAGCAGGATATCTTCAGAAATCTCTTGAAAGTAGTTGTTGTCATTATTTTATGATTCCAAATCCTTTCTGACTTATGGCAAATCCAAGTTGACTCATATCACAGACTTTTCTTGGCATGACTTGTTTCGAAGGCTCTTGCAATTGCCTTCCTTTGAAGTTGAGAGAGTGTAGCATCTGGCCTTCTTCCCAGATTTGAAACCTTAAATAAATTGTTTCCTTCTTTTATTCCAAGACAGAAAATTGGCAGGAACCATCACTAATCGTATGCACCATCTAGAGGTCATATACTGTTTCTTTGGTTTTTATAAACAGGCTGAGAAATTGCCAATTGAAATATGTCTGGTCTGTAACGAAAATACTGTTTGGAGTGAAAAATAATGCTTATAAATCACTTTTCAGGCCATGTTTAGACATTTAAAAAGGGGTTTTGACAGAGTTCCTCCCCATTCACCAGTTTTATGCCAGTGCTTCATGAATGGTATAAGATTAATAAATGAGGGATAAAGACAAAAGAAAAAACAACACAATAGTCAATGCAAACAGCTACCTTTTAACATTGCAGTGAGCAATGATAACAAATACCCTTCACACATGAATAGTAATGAGAATAAAATACTTTAAATAGTATTTCCAAGCTCTGGAAATGTAGGTATTTTTTAATAACATTTTTCTCTCTTGGGAGAAAGCGGGTGCACCTGCACTATAAAATGAATGCAGTTTGACACCACTTTAATGGCTATGGCTTAATGGTATGGAATCTTGGAATTTGTAGTTTAGTGAAACACCAGCACTCTTTGGTAGAGAAGGCTGTGAGTACTGGTTTGACTCAGTGCATGAGGAAACCTTAGAGGACTTACTTATCAACTGTGTTCTGAGAAAAACAAAGAGCAGGAGAGGAGATGCAGTTGCCAAGACTAACCACCTTGTCACACAGCTGCTGAGGTTGCTCTGCTTTGTAGAAGGGCATGGGAAACCCAGTACCCCATGCCCCACATTACCTGGCTCCAGCTGAGGGCAATCAGATAGGTGGAAGCATGAACTTGTGTGGTGCACATGGCTTCCCCCCATGCCTTGCAATGGCAACACGGGAACCCTCCCGTGCTAAATCGGCACATGCCACCAAATTTAGCCCCGTGTGATGAGGTGGCAAGGAGTACTTCCACAAATACTTCCAAATGTGGCTAAGGACCCCATCAGATGGGCAGGTAGAATGCGGAGGAAAGCAGAGAGAACCACCCCCTTTGTTCCCTACCAACTTTCCCATCTGATGTGGTTTCCTGTCCTTTCCTTGTTCTTTCTTGGCTTCCTCATCATCTTCTTTAAAGAGGAGTTGGGTAGCATCTGATTTCTCCAAAACCACTCTGGGCTCCATTTTTCCATTACAGTTTAGACCAAGGAGGACACTGACTCTTATACATCTACTATATAAGCATTAGCACTGCTTCCTGGGAAGTTAAATACAATGCTTGACATGATTTTTTTTTGTCATGTAAGGAGCGACTTGAAAAACTGCAAGTTGCTTCTGGTGTGAGAGA